TGCCCAGTTGCTAACTGAAATGTTGGTCATCTGAGTTTACTCCGGCCTAACATGAACAAACCAGGTGAGATTCCTGCCCTCAAACAGCTTTAAATCTTCTGAGGGATGATGACAGGTAGTAAGCAAAATTTTTAAACCACCATAATCACAAGTTCTATCAAGTGCTATTAAGATACAGTAAGCACTAAGTAAGATACACTAAGCTCTCCTAGGTTACAATTCTTGTCCTTAAATGTTACGTAAATTAGCCCTCCCTTTCAAACAACTGAATGACTGAACCAACCAACAAATTCTTCATCACAATCACCTTTACTTGCTGCACATGCAGCTTTTTAATCTCTGAAAGGTTTTGAGCCTTTTCTTGTACTAAAGGCTAAATAGGAGCTTGACTGCTAACCAGAAGGCTGGTGGTTCAACCCCACCAGCCATTCTAAGGACGGCTGGGCAATCTACTTCCATAGTGACACTGCCTCGGAAACCCAAGGAGGGGTTGCTATGAGTCGGGTCTGACTCGATGGCAAATAATAACAACAAAGGCTAAATAAGAACTGTATGTATCTGTTTTGACTTACCTACAAACTCAACTTAAAGACACTTAGGAATGGATCTTGCTCCACCTCAAGGACTACCTGTTTAAAAAAAAAAAAAGGTTGATACAATTAAGAAATACTATATAATACTATAAATAGGGTGATCTTGAAAGATTTCTCTGAGAGGGACATTTGAGCTGAAATATAAGTGATGAGAATGAGACAGCCATTATCTGGGGGAGGCACATAGCAGTAGAGGATACATCAAGTGCAAAGCCCTGAACAGGAAGAGGTTTGGTGTATTTAAAAAAAGTCAATAAAGCCAGTATGGCTTGAGAGTGGTGGCAAGAGAGAGAGTGGTAGATGAGGTCCCAGAGGTCAGCTGAGGTCACTATGTAGGGCCTCCTAAGCCATAGCAAAGATTTCCAGATTCATCCTTAAATATGATAAGCTTCTGAAGGTTTTCAGCAGGAGAACGATGTGATCTGGTTCAGATGTGTGATCATTTATACAGCTGTGTGGAGAACTCATCACAGCCAGGGCCATCTTCTCTATTTGCACCACAGGCTGAATGTGTGTGGCTGATGAGCTTTTCAGGGGCTATGAAGAGGTTGTTGTTGTTACGTGCTGTCGAGTTGGACCCGACTCATAGGGACGCCTCCTTGGGTTTCCGAGTCAGTATCACTACGGAAGTAGATTGCCCCATCTTCCTTCCAAGGAGTGGCTGGTGGATTTGAACCGCCAGCCTTCTGGTTAGCAGTCAAGTGCCTTAGGCACTATGCTACTAGAGCTCCTATGAAGAGGTTAGAGTGGGGATAAAGGGGAAAAAAAAAAAGTTCTACAGAGAAAAAATAAAAACTGTAAAGTTGAAATGAGTAAGTGTCTCAGTGTTTAGAAACCTTATTTAACATCATGGCAACTTCATCCATCAATAGGTTAGTTATTTACAGAAAAACAGAAGACAGACATAAAGTAATCCCTCACAGACAGCTAGACACTGTGTGAGAGAGATCTAACAAATCTACCAACTCAGGACCATAGTACTGAGGGACACAAGACTGTGTCAATACACAACAAAATATATAAAAGTCTTGTTCTCATCCTACATTGGTGAGTAGCGAATGGGTCTTAAAAGCTTTCAAGAGGCCATCTAAGATGCAGCTAATGGTCTCCCATTGTCAGAAGTGAAGAAGAATGGAAAAAAAAAAAAAAAAAAGAGCATTTGGAAGCAATCAGCCCTAGGACATGATGGACCTTGAGACCAGAAGAACTAGATGGTGCCCGGCTAGCAATGCCAACCACTCAGGAAAGGATCAAATCTGGAGATCCTTGATAGAGTGGGAGGAAAAACGTGGAACAAAATCCAAAAACTCAATAATGACCAGAATTACTGGTCAGATGGAGTCTGGTGAGACCCTCCCCTCCAATACTATGGTCTTGGGACACATTCTGGGCCTGGAATAAAGCTCGCTCCCAGGAGCTGGCTCTCAACCCAGAAGTAAACAAGATGTACATGCAGACCACTCAACCTAGGGTGATGCACCCACATACTTTATGGAAATACATCCCTTGGAGCAATTGACCACGGAGCACCAGAGGGGCAACATTTGCATGGAGGAAATGCAGGATACACAGGAGTACATAGCTATGGGGGGTGGTTTACTGGGTAGGGAGAGGAGCAGACTGGGTTAGGGTTGGGGATGGTAAATAGTGAAATTCAATGTACAACACCCGTTGAATGTGATGTTGAATGTAAAATACACTCTTAAAATTAAAAAAGAGAGTTCATCTTTGCAAAAAAAAAAAAAAAAAAAAAAAGTTAGTTATCCGTAAACAACCAAATTACATTTGGAAATTAGATTTTCTTGAGTCACAAAAATTTCCCAAGTATGTGCAGTATTTGCCAAAAAAATCATGATTATAAATGTGAATTTTCTTGCAGCCAAATGCCAAAAGAAAACTTATAGTTCATTTAACAACAACAAATTTACTTAATGTAGGAGGTAGATACAAAAATAAATGCCTAGCACCATGAAGGTCACTCTGGTGGTATAATGCCTAAGGCATCTGACTGCTAACCAGAAAGCTGCTGGGAAAAACCTACCAGCCACTCCTTGGAAGAAAGACTGGGCAATCTACTTTTGTAGCAATCTCGGAAACCCAAGGAGGGGTCACTATTGAGTTGGGATCGATGCCAGGTGAGAGATGCTGGTAGCTTGGATCAGTGCTGCTGAGGTCTAGAGAGAGAGGTAGCGGCTTACACCCCACCCTAAAAGGCCCAGAATACCAAAAGAGTGAGTTTGAACCCCATCCAAGGGACTATTTGAGAAGCTTCTCTGAACCAAGTGACCTGAACGAGAAGGAACTAGCTGGGCCAAGAACTGGGGTAAAAGGTTCCAGGCAGAACTTAAGGGCTGTCAGTTTTTTAAGGAACAGAAAAAAGGTTTGTTTAGATGAAAGCTGGAGCTGAGTGGGTAATACGAACCAAAGTATGCAGGGTCTGGATGACATTGCTCTCATTCCACAACAGTGGAAAACCACTCACATTTAAAGTAGGGGTGTGACCTGATGTAATTTATTTTAGATTTGCACTCTCCAAATAGTACAGCCAGCTTTCTCCCTGACTACTTGAACATAGCCAGTTTGACTACAAACTGAACTTTCAGTTTACTTAATTTTACAAATTAAAAATCCAAAATGCAATTCAGTTAATGGAAAACTTTTAAGTATATGTGGAACAACTCAGACACAGGAACCTACTTTTTCAACTGTAAATTGTATGAAACCTAAAAGCAGAAGAACTATTTCTGATAAAAATTTAGTGTCCTAATTTCAGCTGTGCTGCAGGTGTGAAACACACACAGCATTTCCAAGCCATACCCACTAACCAAACCCCCTGCCATCAAGTCGATTCCGACTCACAGCAGCCATACGAGACAGTGGAACTGCCCCATAGGATTTAAATCTTTATGGAAGCTGACTGCCTCATCGGTCTCCCACGGAGCTGCTGGTGCGTTCGAACTGCGTACCTTTGGGTTAGCAACTGAATGTCTTAACCACTGCGCCACCAAGCGCCTTCCTAAGTTTTAATACCGAAAGAATGTAAGCCGTCTCATTTTTATAATTATACAGTGAAATAATACTTTGGCTATATTGGATTAGATGTGACATGTTATTAACTTCACTTTTCCTGTCTTTAATACGGATACTTGAAAATGTAAAATTAAGTATGTAGTTCGCCATTACTTTTCCACTGGACAATACTGGCCTCCGAAGGAAGGGAAAAGAATGGGTGTGGAAGCTCCTAGTCTTCCAGGCAAGAGGAAACGGTGGTTCGGACCGGGGACAGAGAAGTTTCAAAAAGTATTGTAGAGTCATGATTCACGTCAGAGAATTTTCAGTCCCGTTCAATGAGCAAGGAGACGGAAGTGGCAGAGCCTGAACTCAAACCTACACCTATCCCCGAACGCTCACGAACTCCCATTTGCCGCGATACGCTCGAGGAGTAACTACTTGAAACCGCCCAGCGGCCCTCGAGGTGAGGAGAAAGGGATTCGAAACAGGTTGCAGTCCCGAGGACAGTCCAAGCGCAACGTGTTGTCGCCGCTCCGTGTCCCCTCAGGGCTGAATCAAACGTTCATAACGTTCACAACGGACTCCCCGGCGGCCAGACATGAAGGGCCAAGAGCTACTCAGTAAAGCTCCCGGTAACGCTCACCTGCTGACAGACACCGAAGCCACAAACGCGCCTCTTTTTCTTCAGACCCGACGCAACCACGCAGACGCCCGACATCCCCCCACATCCGGCTAATCCCCACAGCAGCTCTAGCTATCACGAGTCCCGCCCCGCGGTCAACCCAGCCAATAGCCTATTCACACCCACTCCCGCCTGCCAATCACCGCTGGTGCGAGCACCGCCTTTCCCGCCCTCTTCAGCGAGCGTCGCGCGCCCCCGCTCGGCCGTTGGCGGCGCTGCCCCCGAGGGATGCTTGGCCCAGAAGGGCGGAGCAAAGCGCGCGCCACGCTAGTGCGAGAATCCGTGGGATTGGCCAAGAGGAGCCCAGCGCTCTGTTCTCCGCCCACTCCCGCCCCCTGCGTCCGAGTCGGAGGCACTGGGGATTGGCTCCCCGGTGGGAATGGACGCTCAATGGAGCGAGGAGATAGTTCCGCCCCTTCGCGCTCGCCGGAGAGGGAGCTCGGTATATTGGGCCTGGAATGTTCCGCGCGCGCCGATCAGCGCTCCAGGATTGGCTGGGGGCGGGCTTGCGCCGCCGACGAGCGTTGGCGATGATTGGCTGGAGGGCGGAGCGGCTATTTGAAGGCGGCGCGCGAACGAGGTGCGTACTTTGGCCCGCGTAGAGGGGAGGCGGGAGCGGCCTTGGGAAACGCTGTCTATTGACCCACCGGACGCAGACTCTTATCTTGGCCTCGGTCCGGCCTCAGCCCTGGTACCAGCCCCAGCCCGGCGAGGTGATGGCCAAGGTGTCTGTGCTGAACGTGGCGGTGTTGGAGAATCCGAGCCCTTTCCACAGCCCCTTCCGGTTCGAGATCAGCTTCGAGTGCAATGAGGCCCTGGCGGACGGTGAGGCTGGGCCTGTGTGGAGACAACCCCCCCACGGCCAATCCCAACTTACCTTGGAGACACCCCCACGGTCAACCTCGACCTCCCCGTGAACACCCTCCCACGACCAACTCCGACCTCCCCCTGGAGACATCTCCCACTCCCATCAACCTTGACTTCCCCTTGGAGATGCCCCTGCAATACCAACACTAACTCCCCCCCTCCCGTTACCCTCCAACAGCCAACTCTGACCTCCCCATAAACATCCCCTCACAGCCAATTCTGAGCTCCCTGTAGAGACACCTCCCACCCCTGTCAACCTCGACCTCCCCATTAGGGCCTCTTCCAGTGCCAACCCTAACCTCCCCTTGAGGCCCACACACAGATAGCCAACCCTGACCTTGCCATGGAGACCCCACTCACAGCCAGCCCCAACTTTTTCATGGAGAACCCCTCATACACACTGTCCTGCTGCTTCCCTGTGGAGACATCCTTCTTTTTTGTTGTTTTTTTTTTTTTTTGGTGGTGCTCCTCCCAACCACCGATTTAAGTAGAGAGCTTCTCAGCCTCCATTCTTTCCTATGACAAGACACCTTCCAAGTCACTCCATTTCTGTAAAGCCAGACCCACTTTCAGCTACCCAATGGGATGAAATAGCCCACTCATCCCAACCCCCTGTGGCCAGACACTCTCAATTCATTTTTTTCCTGTAGAGACCCCAACCCCCTCATTTTCCCTGTGGAGACCTCTCCCCAAGCTCCCTTCCTTTTTCCCCAGTGGAGATGCCCCCTCAAAGTCACCTTCCTTTTCCTCCCTGAAGACTGTCTTCCCTGTGACAATACTTCAACTCACCCCATCTCCCCTAACAGCTAACATCTCCCCAACCTGCTAACATTTAAACCTCTTTCCTGCTCCCTACCCCCAACTTCTGCTTGTGCTCTCCATCCCAGAGCACACGCTCTAGAACCTGGCTTTTCTCCTGTTCCATCTGACCTAAACTCAAGCTTCACCTGGAGAGGGATGACCTGGCGACCAGACTTAAAGGGTAGCTTGTTACTCCCAAGCTCCTGTTCCCTCCACTCTGCTCGTCAGCTTAGATGAACACCCACCCACCCATCTGAGGGGTGGCATAGTCATATGCCAGACAGGTGTGAGCCGGTTCCCAGGGTTTGCCTGCCAGGTTCCAGCTGTCTTAACTGTAGCAATTCTTCCAGCACTTTTGATGGTCTGTCCTAGTCTGGGGGTGGGGGGACAGGCTGAGCTGAGACAGCGTCTGGCTTCAAACAGTCAACTGGGAGTCACAACCTTTTGTGCATCTTTTCCAAGGTGCTTTCATGAGTGTGCTTATAAGTCTGTATGACATGAAGGTAGATCAGGCTGTCATCTCACACATGAGAAAATAGGAGCCACAAAGAGTGAAAGACCTTTCAAGAAGAGGTCTATAAAAAACTAAAACCAAATGGCTATGGTTACCTAGGGAGCTTTGGCACAGCTAACAGGCAAGCCCTGCTTTCAGAAGGAAGTACTCTGTAAGACCACCTCTCTATTTGGCTATTAAAGGAGAAGGGGCAGCAGCTGAGGTGAGGCCCGGGTGCTTACTAGCACCTCTCAGTGGCAGGTGTGTGGTTTGCTCATAGAGCCTGCTGCTTGGATTAGCTTGTGGCTAGTTTGAACTGTGTGTGCCCTCTGCATGAGCCAATGGGTCAGTCTCCCCCTGGTGTCTCACACTCTTTTTTTAAATTAAGAAGTCCATTTGTGACTAACTATAGAGTAAGCTGAGTTAAATCCTTGCTGGAACAGGGCTGGGTGTAAATAAATAAATAAAGTGTAGAATGACACTGTGGAATAAGATTTAATTTTAAAGCCAGGAGGAGATGTAAGGAGCTAATAGGTTAAGGGATTCACAGTTCCCAGATGGCAGGAGATTGAGTTTCAATCAGCCTGTTTGTGCTCCTTGAATTAAAAATGATTGCATGGCCGTTATTTAGTGTTTTATTCCAAGGAAGTCCTTGCCCTTTGACTTTAGTAATCTGTTTATAGAATCGAGGCAGGAAAGGCTAAAGTCAACCTGCGGAGTTTTCTTTTTAAATAGAGGGAGTAGGATGACTTCTCTAAGGTCACACATCCAGTTTGTTGAAATGTTGGGATAAGAGCTTGTCTCTGAGTTCTGAGTCCAGGTTCTTTGTTTTTGCTCTTATTGTGGGGGTGAAGGAAAGAAAGAAAGCATTCCCTGCTTTAAAGGTAGACTATAAATAGGAAGGACCATACAATTTATTGCCAAATCAGGACCCTCAAAAGATGGGGGGATCCAAACTCAACTGCCTATGAATTGATTCAACTTATAGGGACCCCTTTTTGGGTTTCTGAGGCAATATCTCTATGGGAGTAGATTGCCCAGTCTTCCTTCTGAGGAGTCGCTTGTAGGTTTGAACCGCTAGCCTTCTGGTCAGCAGTCAAATGTCTTAACCATCATACCACCAGAGCTCCCAAAAGAGAGTAACCAAACCAAACACCCTACTGTCCACTTGATTTGATTCGAGTCATAGCGACCCCTCCTTGGGTTTCCAGAAGTAGACTGCCCAATCTTCCTTCTGAGGAGTGGCTGGTGGGTTTGAACTGCCAGCCTTCTGGTTGTGCTTAGGCACTACACCACCAGAGCTCCCAAAAGAGAGTAAAGGGGGCACTCTTAATTATGCTGGATGATGTTGTTGTTGTTATGTGCCATCAAGTTGGACCCAACTCATAGCGACCCCTCCTTGGGTTTCCGAGGCAGTATCACTACTGTAGATTGCTCTATCTTCCTTCTGAGGAGTGGCTGGTGAGTTTAAACTGCCAGCCTTCTGGTTAGCAGTCAAATGCCTTAGGCACTATGCTACCAGAGCTCCCAATTATGCCAGATAGTAGAACTATTAAGGAGCTATGGTGGCATAATGTCTAAGGCATTTGATTGCTGACCAGAAGGTTGATGGTTCAAAACCACCGGCCACTCCTGAGGAGGAAGATGGGGCAATCTACTTCTGTAAAGATTTACCTCCTCAGAAACTCAATGGGTATCGCTATGAGTCATAATTGACTCCATGGCAGTGAGTCAGTGAGTTTTTTGAGTTAGTAGAGCGGTTGTTCAGAAGAACTTAAGTTGGAAATCAAGACCTGGCCTGGAAATCCAGACTCTTTGGTTCTACCTCCTATGGCCTTTGGTGACTCTGACCTCCCACCTTGCCTTCTGCCTTTTCATGGCTTCCCACAAAGCAGAATCTGTTTCCTGCCTTCCAAACAAATGGAGTGGGCCTGTCTTAGAAGTCTCTTTGGTCCTGAGGAAATCTCAGTCAGTCTTTTCACCTCTCTGTGCTGCAGTTGAAATCTGACAAGCCATCCAACCCTTGGTCATTTAGCCAACCCCCATTTCTCAAGGGTTCTAAGCCCCTTTTGCTCACTCTTCTCTGTAACATCTGGAACTAGATATCTCCAAGGCATGGACCCACACTTAATAGGTTAGGTGTGTTTTCTCCCAGTTTAGTTGAGAAATTCAACTGACACTAGTTGAGTAAGTCATAGAAGCCAGATGTTCTGACCCAGGGCTCATATGCTGTGGTGAGGCCAAGGTTCATCTGTATAATTATAAAGAAAGTCAAAATGATAACACAGAAAAAGGCATACTAGGTATTGTTTTTTAAAAAACAACAACAGGAAACAGACTCCCCACGTAGTTCAACTATAATAATTTGTATTTGTTTGTAATCCTATTACTGGTTTTGTTTTAGTTTTTCTACATAGTGGAGGGGCATCTTGTGTGGGAGTTAGATTGTAATGTTAGGGCATAAAGACAAAACTTAATGCACTCACTTTGCCCTTGAAGTTTCCCATAAGGTTAAGTATACAGTGTTGCATGTGTACAATTGGGCATTTATGTCCTGTATTCAGTAGTTATATGTGTGTGTGCTGTGTATACTACTGTCCTATATTTGACTCCAAAGAAAGGTTATATTCAAAAATGAAACCATTTGTGGATGTCTCTGCTTAAAACGCTTCAGGAAATTTAAGGAGATCCAATTTGTAGACCGTTATTCTAGTCATCTTCTGCCTTCTGTAGACCATTTCATCAGCTTCTCTTACTCTTGAGTCAGTGTTTGTCTGTGGCCCTTGGTTAATTCCTCAGTTTCTTTCTGAACCAGGTTATGGGAGCCACTGCAGTCCACTTACTTCTGCAGTGTGTTTTCTCCTCCAGTCAGCATTCACATGGTTTTTGTTTAGGTTTCACCAACAGTGATTGACCTCAGCTAGACACCACTGAGTACCTGTGGTACAACCAAACCAAACCTACTGCCATCGAGTTGATTCTGACTGATAGCAACCTCTGTTGGGTCTCCAAAGCAGTAAATCTTTACAGACATAGATTGCCCTGTCTTGCTTCTGTGGAGTGGCTGGTGCATTTGAACCACCAACCTTCTGGTTAGTGGTCAAATACCTTAGCCACTAGGCCACCAGAGCTCCTTGTGGCCCAACCATAGCCCACTATTTTTGAATCTCTTTTCTGTCTCCTGAAGCACTTTAGGTAAATGTACACATAGGACCCTGCTGGTTATGGAGGAAAAGACCAGAAGGATATAGGTAATTATAGTAGGAAGGTGAGATCAGGACTAGCTTGTCTTTCTGTTCTAAAAATTTAATTCTAGTTGTATCACTACTTGTAACAAAAATAAGCCAATGAACTAAACTTCCTCTCTGCAAATAATAACATACTGGAGTTTGGCTGAATGAACCCTACTGAGCCAAAGTGTACCCATATCCCATAGGTCTATTAGGATTCCTGAGTAGAGGGCCTGGGTGAAAGTACATGGGGACAGAAAGCAGTGGCTGGAGGACAGGCTTGGGCTGTGGTGACAAACCTTTAGTTGGTGGCCCAGCATTGCTCACAGTTGGATGCTCTTGTATGAGGCTTGACCAAGGAGCAGGGCAGTGTCCAAGAGAATTTGCTTCCTGTGAAAATCAGCTCTTGTGAAACTCCAGCTGTTGGAGCTGTTGATTGTGCAATTTCAAAGAACCTAAAATAAGTTTTAGGTCTCATGCCAGGAGTCCCTGTACTAGCATGACCTTGCCCCTGGTACACTTGGACTCCTGTAAGAGGAAGTGGTCACCAGAACCACTTTGATGGATAGGCAAAGTCTCCGTACTGTCACCCATACATACTCAAGAATGGTACCCTTCTACTGCATGGGATGTCAGAGAGTTGGGGTTCAGAGGGTGACCCCAAAGTGCCATGTGGGTTGATGGTGGTGCCCTTACCTGAAAGTCCCTGGAGGAAGCATGATTTGGTGCTGGATCTGGAGGCCTGGGGATAGGCAGCTTTCCCAGTGGCCTTGCCTTCCCCTCCTGCCACTGCTCTCCTGCTGGATTGGAATCTGCTGCCCTGCCCCAGTTGTCGAGGGATCTACTCAGTTTGGTGGCACCGATCCCTGTGTGTGAAAGAGGATGCTACTTCCTGTCCCAGCACCCAGTGGGCAGGGCCCTGGAATGGCCCAACTCCTGTTGTTCCCTCCTTGGCATGCCTCAGTCACGTGGGTCTTAATTCAGCCTTTGCCATACGGTTTGCCCGTAGGTTCCCAGAGGCCCATTTCCCCCAGGTGCAGAGTCAAGGTCACCTGGCAAGGCTAGGCCCACGCATGAGATTGCACTTTGGGAAGTAGGGCTGCACGCCTGTGTTTAGGACTGCAGTGCCTGCTGCTTGGTGCTCAGAGGACAGCAGGTGTTTTGGGGAAATAACAGTCTTTTGATATATTAAAGACTTGTGCAAAATTAACAAGAGAAGACCCTTTCCCTACCTTCTGCTGTCAACCTATTTCAGTTCCTTAATACCCCACATGTCCTTGCAGACCTGGAGTGGAAGATCATTTACGTTGGCTCAGCTGAGAGTGAGGAGTTTGATCAGATCCTAGACTCGGTGCTGGTTGGCCCTGTCCCAGCCGGGAGACACATGTTTGTCTTTCAGGTAAGAAAGACGAGACCTTAGGTGGGTAGTCCATGACTCCTAGAAATGTCCTCTTTTTTCAATGACCAATGTTCAGGTTCAAAACTTGGCTCTTCCTCTTGAGACTGTAGAAGAGAGCTTTCCTGATCTGTAAACTGCCTATTTGGCAACTCTAAACTTTTAGAGGTCTCAGGAACTTCACACACCTTCCTCACCTCTACCTCTGTGTTAAATCTGTTACCTAGAGTCCCTGATTTAACTCCTGGATCACTCTTACCAAGCATCACCTGGCTTGTCAGAAATATAGGGTATAAGCTCCTCAGGTGACCTTTTGCCCACTCAAGTTTGAGAGTAGCTCAGATCCATTCACTTTATTACTGTGCCCATCACATCTCCTAACCCCCTTACCTGCCCTGTATCCTATCTGCCACCAAGCCCCATCTCTACTCCGTGACCTGGGCCAGCTTCCTGGGCATGCAACTCATGTCATCACACAGGGCCCCATGTTGTTGTTGTTGTCATGTGCCATCGAGTCGGCCCCCAACTCATAGCAACCCCTCCTTGGGTTTCCGAGGCAGTATCTCTACGGAAGTAGACTGCCCAACCTTCGTTCCAAGGAGTGGCTGGTGGGTTTGAACCGCCAGCCTTCTGGTTACCAGTCAAGTGCCTTAGGCACTATGCTACCAGAGAGCCTACAGGCCCCCATATTCAATTTAATTCTGTGCTGTTACTGTTTTTTAATCTTTTAAAAATTTTTATTGTGATTTGGGTGAAAGTTTACAGAGCAAATTGATCTTCCATACAGCATTTCACATACACTTTGTCTCATGACATTGACTTCCATTTTCCACAATGCAACAGCTCTCCTCCCACTTCTCCCCATAGCCACCTCTTCACTGTGTCCTTCCCTACCATGCCCTCCTGCCCCTGAGCTATCTCCGTGTATATATACAGCCCTTCTGTTGTCCCATAATTGACCTCTCCAAGGAGTGTATCTACCTAATGTAAATGTTCACCTCATATCCTTGTCTTTTGTTTGTCTGGAAGCCACAAGAGTGGGTTCAATTCCAGACCTGAAGGGGAGCTAGGGGCCATAGTCTCGGGGATCTCACCATTGTGATTTGGGTGAAAGTTTACAGAGCAAATTCACTTTCCATACAGCAGCTCACATATACTTTGTCTCATGACATTGACTGAAATTTCCCCTAATGTAACAACTCACTTCCCACGTCTTCCCCCCATAGCCACCTTTTCCCTGTGTCCTTCCCTCCCATGCCCTTCTGCCCCTTGAGCTATCTCCCTGTGTATACACAGTTCTTCTTTGATCTCATGATCAGTCTCTCCAAGGAGTGCATCTACCTAATGTAAATGTTCACCTCATATGCCTGTCTTTTGTTTGGCTGGAATCCACAGGAGTGGGCTCAATTCCAGATGTGAAAGGCAGCTAGGGGCCATAGTCTCAGGGGTTCCACCAGCCTCTATCAGACAAGCAAACCTGGTCTTTTTTTTTTTTTTTAATGATCTTGAGTTTTGTTTCACATTGTTCTCCCACTCTATCCAGGATCTCCTACATAGATCCCCCTCTGTGTAGTTGACAGTGGTAGCCAGGTATCATATAGTTCTTCTCATCTCATAGTCATATAGTCTGAGGATCATGTAATGTACCAGTCACTTGGACTAATTGTTTCCATGGTGTCTTTGGTTTTTCTTCATTCTTCTTTGCTGTGGACAAGGAGAGACCCATTGTAGCATCTAAGTGGCTGCTTGCAAGCTTTTAAGATCCTGGTCACTACTTGCCAAAGTAGGATGTAGAACAATATTTTTGTGTAGTATGTTATGCCAATTGAGCTTGATGTCCACTGAGACCATGGTCCTGAGCCCACAGGTCCAAGTACTTAATCCCTCTGAGTAGCTGGCTGTGACCAAGAAGTAACTACAACCTTGTCCCTTGTCAGCTCTACTATATACCTTGGGATTCTTACAGAACGTACAATTATACTTGTAGAAACACTGTCTGCCAACCCTATACATGGTCATGGGCACACTTCTGCCTGAATAGACATACCTAATCGATCATTCTGTCCACCCATCTATCCACTCGTAGATCAGTGTTTGCAGTTATTAACAACATGGTACTGTGTGTGCAAAAGAGTTCATCTTTGTTGTCTGTACCTCCCATGTACCTCTCTATGTCTTCCTCTTCCTCAGTGCCACTGTGTTGATCACTCACATTTGGTATATTGCCCTTTTCTTCACCCAAATCAATACTTATCTCTGCCTGTCTAGCAATGTTCCCTCCTCTCCCCTCCTACCCTGGTAACCAACAAAAAAAATTTCCTTCCATGTATAAACCTTTCCTTGACTTTTTACAATAATGGACTAATACAATATTTGCCCTTCTGTGATTGACTTATTTCACTCAGCACAATGTTCTTCAAGTTCATCCATGTTATGCAGTGTTTTGCAGATTCTCCATTATTCTTTAGGGTTGCATAGTATTCCATTGTGTATATATACCATAGTTTGGTTATCCATTCTTCTGTTGATAGGCACCTAGGTTGTTTCCATCTTTTGGCTATTGTAAATAGTGCTGCAATGAACATGGGGTATGTATATATATATATATATATATCTGTTCTTGTCCTGGCTCTCACTTCTTTAGGATATATACCTAGTAATAGCATTGCTGGGTTAAATGGTATTTCTAATTCCAACTTTTGAAGGAATCACCATACTGCTTTCCACAATGGTTGTATCATTTTACAGGCCCACCAGCAGTGTATGAGAGTCAAAGTCTCTTCACATCCTCACCAGCATTTGTTATTTTCTGTCTTGTTAAACTTTTCTACTAGTGCTGGAGCAAGATGGTACCTCATTGTTGTTTTGATTTGCATCTCTCTAATGGCTAATGACAGAGCTTTTTCTTACATATATAATTATCTTAGTTATCTGTTGTTGTTGTTGTTGTTATGTGCCGTCGAGTCGGCCCCGACTCATAGCGACCCCTCCTTGGGTTTCCGAGGCAGTATCACTACGGAAGTAGGATTGCCCAACCTTCCTTCCAAGGAGTGGCTGGTGGGTTTGAACCGCCAGCCTTCTGGTTAGCAGTCAAGTGCTTTAGCCACTATGCTACCAGAGCTCCTTCTTAGTTATCTAGTGCTGCTATAAAAAATACCACAAGTGAGTGACTGTTGCTATTATTAGATGCTATCGAGTCGGCTCTAACTTATAGCAACCCTACATACAACAGAACAAAACAATGCCTGGTCTTACGCCATCCCCACAATTTTTGCTATACTTGAGCCCATCATTGCTGCCAATGTGTCAATCCATCTCATTGAGGGTCTTCCCCTATTTTCACTGACCCTCCATTTTACCAAGCATGATATCCTGATATCCTTCTCCAGGGAATGCTCCCTTCTGACACATGAACAAAGTAGGTGAGATGAAGTCTGCCCATTCTCACTTCTGAAGAGCATTCCAGCTATACTTCTTCCAGGACAGATTTGTTTATTCTTCTGGAAGTCTGTGGTATTTTCAGTATTTTCGCCAAAACAATTCAAAGGCATCAGCTTTTCTTCTGTCTTCCTTATTCATGTCCATCTTTCACATGCATATGAGGCGATTGAAAATGCCATGGCTTGGGTCAGATGCACCTTAGTCTTCAAAAATGACATCTTTGCTCCTTAACTCTTTAATGCAGTCTTTTGCAGCAGATTTGCCCAGTGCAGTACGACATCTGATTTCTTGACTTTTGACAAATTTATTTTCTCACAGTTTAGGAGGCTAGAAGTCTTACATCAGGGGGCTAGCTCTAGGGGAAGGCTTTTTCTGGACTCTGGAGGAAGGGCCTTGTCTCTTCTGCTTCTGTTCCTGGGCACTCTTCCTATGGCTTGGCATTTGTCTTCCTCAGTCTCAAAAGAAAATGGACTTGAGACTCACCCTGCACTAATCCTGACTCATTGACACAACAAAGACAACCTATTCCCAAATGGAATTATAACCACAGGCATACAGGTTACGAATTACAACACATATTTTTTGGGGACAAAAATAACGATATTTTTTTTGTTGTTATTATTGAAAATATACACAATAGAACATATACCAACCATTTCTACAGGTATAATTCAGTGACTGATTACATTCTTCCAGTTGTGCAACCATTCTCACCCCCCCTTTCTGAGCTGTTCCTTCCCCATTCACGTAAACTAACTGTCCCATAAATTTCCTATCTTATCCTCCAAGTTGCTGGTGTCAGTTTGATCCCATAGATAGATCTTCGAAGAGCACCATGCTCAGAGCACATGTTCTTTACAAGTGAAGCTAAACTATTACTGGTTTTAAGACGATTTCAGGGGATATTTTTGATTTGAGGTTTAAAGATTGATATCAGGGCAGTAGTTTTGGGGGTTGTTTGCAGTGTCTTAATTTTTTAACAAGGAGCCCTTCATCTTAATTTTGCACTGGGCCCCACAAATTATATTGCCAGATCCGTGTATAACAACACATCTCAAGTCTGTTTCTTTGGTCCCTCTTCACTGCCAGGTCCCAAGATGACTGCTGTAGCCTGTCAGCCAGTCTCCCTCTCATCCCATCAGCACATAAAGCCAGAATCTTCTTTTCAGACACAATTCTGACATGGCACTCACTTGCTAAACATTTTGCTTTCCCAAACTCTTAACTCACCAGCAAACCCAGTGTGGTCTGGTCCCTGCTGCTCACCTGTTCAGCTTCATCTTACGCCACCTTCCCTTTGCTTATTGCCCTCTAGGGCCATACTGAGCAGCTTACTGATACCTCAGGACCTCTGCTGGGAACATCTGGTAAACACTCTGGGTACCTATCACATTAAAAATTTTACAGTCATTTGTACAGTTGATTCTCTGTTTTCTTCCTTACATTGCAAACTTCTGAGGGCAGAGATCATACTTTTTGGTCAGTAAATCTGTTTTCAGGAATCATTGTTACCACTGGTGAAGGGGTCACTGTTGCACACTGATGTCCAGGATGTGTTTCTTCTAGGCTGATGCCCCCAACCCATCCCTCATCCCTGAGACCGATGCTGTGGGTGTGACCGTGGTCCTCATCACTTGCACCTACCATGGACAGGAGTTCATCCGTGTGGGCTACTACGTCAACAATGAGTACCCTAACCCTGAGCTGCGGGAGAACCCACCACAGAAGCCAGACTTTTCTCAGGTAGGGCCTGTCTCTGCACTTTCTGCTTCAGACAGGTGGCCCCTCCACAATAGGGGAGGTGAGTCATTACAATTGGGAGCCAAAGTCATTGCTTAAAGTTTTTAGTCATGCTTAGTTCTTGCTGGGCCAGACCAGGGAAGAGAGTATCTTTGTTTCCAGAGACATGCCTTAGAACTCAGAGTAGATAGTCCTAAGTGGTGGCACAAGGCCTTGGATTTCTTTACATGGTTGGTGGGATAAGCAAGTTCTGTTCTTCCTGGACTTGGGGCAGCCACTGGGGTTGTCCTGGCTGTGGGGGAGTAATGAGGGACACATGACAAGGCTTGACTCTCCTCTTCCTGCCCCAGCTCCAGCGGAACATCTTGGCTTCCAACCCTCGGGTGACCCGCTTCCACATCAACTGGGATAACACAGACAGGGAAGCTATCGAAAACCAGGACCTTTCTTTGAGCAGCAGCCTCCCCCTCAGCTGCACTCCTGTCAAAGGCCTGGGCCTCCCTGGCTGCATCCCCAGCCTCCTCCCTGAGAACTCAATGGATTGCATCTAACTGTGGGAACTCAGGCCCTGGTTGGGCTCAGCCAGGACCACAGCTAGTCTCCTGACACATCTGGAGCAAGGGCACCCTGGCCTCCCAGAGAACCATGTGGGCCATTTGGAGGACTTTGGGCCTGTTACCTACATCAAACCAGTCAGACTGGGCCCTGAGAAAAGAACAGGTCTTCTTTCCCTGCCCAGAAGAATCATCTCACACTGACTCCACAGGCCCGTAAGAAGCAGGTACTCAGTTCTTCTTTCTGCATCCTTTCTCTCTTCCACACACTATAAATTCACCTGGAGGCCGTTGTGGTCCCTTGAGTATCATTACCCCAAAGCTGCTTCCCACAGACCTCCCTGGCCTGCCTCTGAGGCTTTCTTGGTCAATGTCTGGCAAGGTTCCAGCCCTGTTGGGTCAAAGGCTGTGCCATTCTTTCTCCTTCCCAAACATTTAAACAGATCCCCCAGCTTTCTGGTTAGGAGGTGAACTTGGGTACAGTGTCTTTCTAGGATTTTCAGTTCTCAACCCAGCAGCCCCTGGAAAACACTGCTTCCAAAGTGTGATCTGCTGGTGCCTCTCCTTTCAGTCACAGCACCTTCCTGTTACCTCCTAACTGGACCTGGTGTTCCCTAGAGACTTGAATGGTGGGGAGGTGGCATGATGGAAGAGTCTGCTGTGCTCTGGCTGTCTTGGTGTCAGCATCAAGGCCCCTCTGGCAGCTTTGATTTACCCTCTGCCAAGACCTCTTGCTGTAATGGGCCACAGTGAGTGTGGGCAAGGGAAGCTGTCAGGAGCCTGAAAATCTTTCCCCCTTGAATTTGCTGCCCCCGTCCACCTCCCCAGCCCTCCTCCCACCCCATCCCCTCAATGCTATGTGGATGCTGTTGTGATTACAGTTTGTATATTAAAAGGTTTTTATATTTAAAAATATAAAATTTTGGTTTTGTTCTAAAAATAAAAAGCACTTCATTGAGACTGATTGTTTCTATTGTGTCTCAGGTGGGTGGAGGCAGCTCCATCCACCTGCCTTCCTAACAGTGGAGGTGTCTCTTCCCCTGTTGGGTACATTGACTGCCCTTGTTCCTGTGCTTAAGGAACTCTGGTGGCATAGTGCCTAAGCCATTTGACTGCTAACTAGAAGGCTGGCAGTTCAAACCCACCAGCCACTCCATGGAAGGAAGACTGGGCAGTCTACTCCCGTAAAGATTTACCGCCTTGGAAACCCAAAGCAGGTAGCTGAGTCAGAATCAACTCAATGACAATGAGTTTTTTTGTTGTTGTTCCCTTGCTTGACTTCTTAGTCATTTTACTTGGTTGTATAGTTGTACTCCAGACTCAGCTTTGGGGAGAGTGTTTTCTTTGTCAGATCTTGAGCACACCAGCTGTTCTAGAGATAAGAGATGACCAGTGATTTCAGACTTTGACCATGGTCCACAGGATCACATTAACTTTCACATCATGATCTCCAAGTACATATACAAAGCCACACTTTTATTAAATGTTACTTAACCTTAATATGTAACTCCACAGCCTGAAGTAGAGTGTTTGGCTGGCCCCCCTTTTCCCATTATTTCACAAGGAAGCCTAAACCCTCCCTCCCTGGGACTGCTGGTTGGCCTGGGAGCAAGGGTGCAGACAGCTGCATGGAGTTAGTGCAAGTGATTAAGCAGAGCTTTGAGTCGGCTTGTAGCCTTGAGACTGGACTAGCCCATCCAAGTCAGGGAGAGCTGGTAGGTCCAGGCTTTGGCCCCTTTTCGCACCTCCTGTCAGTCTTAACTAAGATGATTTGGCAACGTCTAGAGACTTGGTTGTAGGTAGTTGGGGCAGGAGAGAGTAGTGTATGCTACAGGCATCTAGTGGGTAGAAGCCAAGGATACTGTTTAACACCCTGCATTGCACAGGACAGCCCCCATCACAAAGCATTGTCCCTCCCCACATTCCAGTTGGGCAGGGTTGGTAAACACTGCAGTACCACTATCCTCTGACTGTGTGTGTCTTAAATAGGCATCCTTAAGAACGTGCGGCCAGGGACCTGGCTGTGCTCCCGATTCCTCATCTGTAAAATGGGGATAATAGTGCCTACATGGTAAGGATGTTGTGCCAAGTAATGTAGTGAATGCGTGCCAATTCTTTCTACTGGTATGAGCCCAGGGTGAGCGCCCCTCCCAGCCACCCCTTGTTCCGGAGGCCCAGCATCCTTCTAAAGCTCCTACTGTGGCTGGAGGCGACTCCAGGCCGCCCAGCCACTACTGCCCAGAGCCAGGCCTTATGAATGACGGCAGACGGCGGCCCGCCGACCTCTGACCCCC